CACTTGTTGCCTAGGCATTGTTATCCAAAGAGCATACTTGCATATCCAGATGATTACCATTGTTTACTTTGTAAAATGCAATATATATATATATGTATAACTACACACACACAGATAATACACCACTTCACCCATTTTTGGGGTTTTGCGTGGAATGTGTCAGATTTGGCTTTTTTCTCTCACTTTTTTCATGTCATACATCCAATAACAAACAAAAAGAAATAAACATGAGAATGTCTAAACATTTGTAACTGTAACAATTTTTCTGGGTGAAGTGATATATTATCTGGCAGAAATGCAGGAGTGGCAATATTTTTGGCCATGGGGGGGTGACTGTATACACATACATACAAAATATTATTATTATACAGGATTTATATAGCACCAACAGTTTGCTCAGTCACTTTACAATATAACGGGAGACCAATACAGCAACAATAATTCATCAATTTTTTTCTTAAATTTGCTCTATAGATCTATGGGTATATGATTGGATGTTTTAGCTGCACTCACTTTAGAGATTTAGTGTTCAGGTAGAAGCGCAGGAGGTTTTTACATTTAATGCAGCAACAATACAGTTCAATACAAGAGGGATAGGAGGGCTCTGCTCCTTGGAGCTTACAATCTAAGAGATATATACTACACACACACACATACATATACAGTATCTCCCAGAAGTGAGTCCACTCCTCACAGTTGTGTCAATCTTTGATTCTATCTTTTTCATGTGACAACACTGAAGAAATGACACTTTGCTACATTATGACGTAGTGAGTGTACAGCTTGTATAACATGGAAATTTGCTGTCCCCTCAAAAATCAACTCAAGATACAACCCATTAATGTCAAAACCGCTGGCAACAAAAGTGAGTCCTCCCCTAAGTGACCAGGTCCAAATTGGGCCGAAAGTGTCAATATTTTGCATGGCCACCATTATTTTCCAGCACTGCCTTAACCCTCTTGGGCATGGAGTTCACCAGAGCTTCACAGGTTGCCACTGGAGTCCTCTTCTACTCCTCCATGACGACATCACGGAGCTGGTGGATGTTAGAGACCTTGCGCTCCTCCACCTTCTGTTTGAGGATGCCCCACAGATGCTCATTAGGGTTTAGGTCTGGAGACATGCTTGGCTAGGCCATCACCTTTACCCTCAGCTTCTTTAGCAAGGCAGTGGTCATCTTGGTGGCGTGTTTGGGGTCGTTATAGGTTGGAATACTGCCCTGTGGCCCAATCTCCGAAGGGAGGGGATCATGCTCTGCTTCAGTATATCACAGTACATGTTAGCATTCATGGTTCCCTAATGAACTGTAGCCCCCCAGTGCCGGCAGCACTCATGCAGCCCCAGACCATGACACTCCCACCCACCATGCTTGACTGTAGGCAAAACACACTTGTCTTTGTACTCCTTACCTGGTTGCTGCCACACACGCTTGACACCATCTGAACCAAATCAGTTGATCTTGGTGTCATCAGACCACAGGATATGGTTCCAGTAATCCATGTCCTTAGTCTGCTTGTCTTCAGAAAACTGTTTGCGGGCTTTCTTGTGCATCATCTTTAGAAGATGCTTCCTTCTGGGATGACAGCCATGCAGACCAATTTGATGCAGTGTGCGGCGTATGGGTCTGAGCACTGACAGGCTGACCCCCCACCCCTTCACCCTCGGCAGCAATGCTGGCAGCACTCATACGTCTATTTTCCAAAAGACAACCTCTGGATATGACGCTGAGCACGTGCACTCATCTTCTTTGTGGTCGACCATGGCGAGGCCTGTTCTGAGTGGAACCTGTCCTGTTACACCGCTGTATGGTCTTGGCCACCGTGCTGCAGCTCAGTTTCAGGGTCTTGGCAATCTTCTTATAGCCTAGGCCATCTTTGTGTAGAGCAACAATTCTTTTTTTCTTCCAATTCTTTTACACAAAATTTTTCACGACAATAACAAGCTAGAAAACGATCATGTCAATAGCAATAATACCTTCACATGCTAGATACAACCAGATGAGCTGGATTCAGTAATCAACATAAACATAAGTCAGACTGAAAGATACATGCGATAATGCATACAATAAGAAAATATTATCCAAATAAATCACGCGTGACATTCGCAATACACAAATTTGGTTCCCAAATTGAAACAAAATATACACAGAAATAAGTATACAGATAGGAACAATGCAACTAGATAACTGAAAAGAGGGGAACAGGAATAGCAATGAAATGGAATAGCAAACAGAGCTAAAACTCTGAAAAAAAAAAAATCTAACAGAATGCACCATATACTACTCTTCGTTCTGTAGTGGAGACACAACTCTCACAGGTCTGAAAGTCTGAATATTCTATTCCAGCATGACCATCTGGTGTCAAATACCTTTATGGTGAGAGTCGAGATCGTGTAAGATCTCTCATGAATATAATGAGAATGTACTCTATTGATAACTTGGAAAATGGAAAATATTGTAGAGGACTTCCACGTATATGTAATTATTAACCGGGCAGCAATTAAAATATCAGCGATAACTGTTCGGTGTAGGATGGAAAATAAGTTTAACGTAAGATTCAACAGCACCAAGTGAGGGTTGGGGCTCACAATTACATCTGACACTACGGGAAATCAGAGCAAAAACAGCTCTTGAAGGCTCTATGCAGATCCCTCTCCCACTTTTATACATGTTATTGTAGAATGATCATTGTCATAATGTAGGAACTTATAAAACCATGATATTTTCAATCCTGGAGGATTCAATAGAACATGCCACTTCCACCCATGCATTTTTATTGGGGGCCATGGTAGTCACGAATCTGGAGATATGGATATATATTCCGCTTTAATTGTGAAAAGTGGATGTCATTGAAAGTATGGTGACCCGCGTCTCACAAGGGTTTTGTATTAAGGTTAGGGATAAAATGTTCATATGCTGTTAATGGTGTGTCCAGTCGCAGTTTAGGGGTAGAGAAGGTAGATTTAGATAACCCTACTAACCATGTGCCAAGTGTTGTGTGGAAATAGAGGGAAGGTAGGTATATATCAGCCTTGGGAAATGATTTTCGCAACTAACAATGCCTGGAAGTCATGATTAGGGACTGTATTCTGTTCTATTTGTACCCATAATTTATCTGAGGGAAATAACCTCGCCTGAAGCTGATCCAGTAATGCAGCATAGTAATAGGTGGAAATAACTGGAAGGCCTAACCCTCCCCTAGACTTGTGTTTAGAGCAGAAAATGGAATTCTGGGTTTTTTAACGCTATGTCTAATTTACAGGAATAGAAACGGGGAATAAAAAGCTGGATTGTTCTAAAGTAGTATAAAAGTTTAGGCTAAATCAACATTTTGAAGGCTATTCTACCTAACCATGAAAGTTCATACCTCCCAATTATTATTAGATCCATTAAAATTGTCTGATATACCGTATTTTTCGCTCCCATAAGACGCACCTAGGTTATAGAGGAGAAAAACAAAGAAAACAAATATTCTGAACCAATGGACTGCAGACATGAAATTACTAGAGACTGCGGACTTAGTACAGGAGATGACCAGAAACTGCGGACACAGTACAGGAGATGACCAGAGACTGCGGACACAGTACAGGAGATGACCAGAGACTGTAGACACAGTACGGGGGATGACCAGAGACTGCGGACATAGTACAGGAGATGACCAGAGACTGCAGACACATTACAGGAGATGACCAGAGACTGCGGACACAGTACAGGAGATGACCAGAGACTGCGGACACAGTACAGGAGATGACCAGAGACTGTGGACAGTACAGGAGATGACCAGAGACTGCAGACACAATACAGGGGATGACCAGAGACTGCGGACACAGTACAGGAGATGACCAGAGACTGCGGACATAGTACAGGAGATGACCAGAGACTGCAGACAGTACAGGAGATGACCAGAGACTGCGGACACAGTACAGGAGATGACCAGAGACTGCAGACAGTACAGAAGATGACTAGAGACTGCGGACATAGTACAGGGGAGATGACCAGAGACTGCGGACACAGTACAGGAGATGACCAGAGACTGCGGACACAGTACAGGAGATGACCAGAGACTGCGGACACAGTACAGGAGATGACCAGAGACTGCGGACACAGTACAGGAGATGACCAGAGACTGCGGACACATTACAGGGGATGACCAGAGACTGCGGACACAGTACAGGAGATGACCAGAGACTGCGGACACAATACAGGGGATGACCAGAGACTGCGGACACAGTACAGGAGATGACCAGAGACTGCGGGGACACAGTACAGGAGATGACCAGAGACTGCGGACACAGTACAGGAGATGACCAGAGACTGCGGACACAGTACAGGAGATGACCAGAGACTGCGGACACAGTACAGGAGATGACCAGAGACTGCGGACACAGCACAGGGGATGACCAGAGACTGCGGACACAGTACAGGAGATGACCAGAGACTGCGGACACAGTACAGGAGATGACCAGAGACTGCGGACACAGTACAGGAGATGACCAGAGACTGCGGACACAGTACAGGAGATGACCAGAGACTGCAGACACAGTACAGGGGATGACCAGAGACTGCGGACACAGTACAGGGGATGACCAGAGACCGCGGACACAGAACAGGAGATGACCAGAGACTGCGGACACAGTACAGGGGATGACCAGAGACTGCCGACACAGTACAGGGGATGACCAGAGACTGCGGACACAGTACAGGGGATGACCAGAGACTGCGGACACAGTACAGGGGATTACCAGAGACTGCGGACACAGTACAGGGGATGAGCAGAGACTGCGGACACAGTACAGGAGATGACCAGAGACTGCGGACACAGTACAGGAGATGGCCAGAGACTGCGGACACAGTACAGGAGATGAGCAGAGACTGCGGACACAGTACAGGAGATGACCAGAGACTGCGGACATAGTACAGGGGATGACCAGAGACTGCGGACACAGTACAGGAGATGACCAGAGACTGCAGACAGTACAGGGGCTGACCAAGAGACTGCAGACAGTACAGGGGATGACCAAGAGACTGCAGACAGTACAGGGGATGACCAAGAGACTGCAGACAGTACAGGGGATGACCAAGAGACTGCAGGCAGTACAGGGGATGACCAGAGACTGCGGACAGTACAGGGGATGACCAGAGACTGCAGACAGTACAGGGGATGACCAAGAGGCTGTGGACCTTTGGGGAGGGAGGGGGAGCGGGTACCTGAATTTGACGGTACCCACTCCCACTTCCGCAGAGTTGTCCGCCCTTTAGTGTGGGACCTGTCATGTGTCCCAGAAGATGTCGGACCATTCACAAAGCGCAGCGCTTCTCGCGCATACGCAATGGGCACCTGGCTGTCACAGCCGGGTGCCCACATTAAAGGTGCTGGCGTGAGAAGACTGCACAGTACTGAATCTCAGAACTGGTAAGGTCCTGCTGCAGAGAAGAGCTGAACAGCCACCCCGGTATTCTGACACGGTGGCAGCGGCGGAAATACCGGACCGGCTGCTCCATATTCGCCTTATAAGACGCACTGACATTTCCCCCTTTTTTTGGGGGGAAAAAAGTGCATCTTATGGAGCGAAAAATACGGTAGTTTCTCATAATTATCTTTGAACATATTGGAGGAGGGGTAAGATACACAAATGTCCAAGTAATCTAGTTTCTTGTTAGACCAGCTATATGGAAACTTGTCTTTAAGACATTGTAAGAGGTCCTTTGTAATACCGATCAGAAGTGCACATGATTTGGTTATATTAAGCTTGTAATATGAAATTTTGCTAAATATTTCCAGGGTTGAGGTGATGGCTGCCAAAGAAGCTAACGGGTCCGTTATAGTAAGTATGACATCATCTGCGAATAGTCCAATTCTATGGGACGTATGTGCTATCGATATGCCAGAGATTAATGGCTTAAGTCGAATTGAAATCGCCAAGGGTTCCATCACTAGAGAGAAAATAATAGGGGAAAGGGGACATCCTTGCCTGGTGCCATTGGTGATTAGGAAAGATTCCAATAAAGCATTAGAGGTAAATACTTGCGCAGATGGTACCATATATAGCGCAGTGATAGCCGACTTAATATAACCATGCATGCCAAAGTTACTCAGAGTAGGCTCAAGATACTGCCAATGGACTCTACCAAATGCCTTTTCAGCATCCAATGGCAAAAAAAACGTCTGAGATTTACGAAGTTTGGCAATCCGCAGCAGATTGAGCACTCTACGTGTGCCATCCACTGCTTGCCTTCCTTTAACAAAGCCCACTTGGTCTGATTGGATAAGAGGAGTCACTGCTAATAATCTACTAGCCAGGATTTTAGCATATATTTTAAGATCCGTATTTAGTAAGGATATGGGGCGGAAGTTTTGAAGGGGAATCAGGGGATTTACCAGGTTTGGGCAAGGTGACTATAATTGCCTTCAACATCTCGGGGAGAAAAGTTGCAGTAGTTACAGCCACTAAAAACATTTTCTTAATATGGGACGGTAATATATCTTGGAATTCCTTATAATATTCTGTAGAGAACCCGTCCGCCCCAGGCGATTTCCCCTTCGGGAGTACTTTAATAGCGGCAAGGATCTCACTATCTGAAATTGGCTGGTTCAGAACATCTAGCTTATGCTGCTCAAGTTTAGGTAGTGAAAGGCTATTGAAAAAGTGTTGAGTAAGATGAGGGGTAGACTGGTGTGTGTTCAGATCATCTTTGAGATTGTACAATTGGGAGTAGTAGGTCCCAAATACTTCTCCAATAATTGTTGGGATGGAACATCTTATCATGCAATTTGAGATCATCTAACATAGAGGAGATTTTAGCTTTCAATTGTTTAGCATTGAGGTAGGAAGCAAGCAGCCTTCCGGCCTTATTACCCTGAGTATAGAGGTTGCTTTGGCTCTCTTAATGTACTTCTCATGCTGGAGTAATAGAATTTTCCTAAGAGCTAGTCTATTAGTTTGTAACTCTTGTAGTACATTAGGGGAAAGACATTGATTTTGTGGAGCCACTAAACTAGCAATCTTAGCTAAAATATCAGATAAAGCATGTTTTCTGCGCCTTTTCTCCGGGGAAGCCAATTGTAATAACATACCACCACAGAATGCTTTATGAGCACACCAAACACTAAGTACATCAGGATCTGAAGAGGCATTCATTTCAAAGTATTCACACAGAGGTTTGGAGAGGTTAGAGTGGATACCAGGGTTAGAGAACATAGAATTGTAATTTTGCTACAAAAACACTGGGGAAAATTTCAGAGTCTCTTTTACACTTCTAGGCGCATGGTCTGAACATGTCATAGGGTGAATGTCTGCTTTGGAGACATGTTGTAGGAGTTGTAAATCCATTAGGAAATAGTCAACCCTGGAGTAGGACCTATGTGGTGCCGAGTAATATGTGAAATCTTTCTCCAATTCATGAAGACATCTCCAGGGATCATACAGATTAGATTCTTGTAGTATCAACTCCATAGAATATCTCACAGTACGCGATGGGCCTGAGACATCCAAGGGGCGCGATGGGCCTGAGACATCCAAGGAACATGATGGGCCCGAGACATCCAAGGAACGCGATGGGCCCGAGACATCCAAGGAACGCGATGGGCCTGAGACATCCAAGGAACGCGATGGGCCTGAGACATCCAAGGGGCACGATGGGCCTGAGACATCCAAGCAACGCGATGGGCCCGAGACATCAAAGGACTTATGGATAATAGCATAAAAGTCACCACAGTAGTACAAACCCTTTCTGGATCTTTGTGATTTGCAGTTCCTCAACACCTGGAGGGCCATAGTTTGGTGTGGTGTAGAGAATATTATTTATTTCACACACCATGATTAAGAACCTGTCTTTTCTATCCATCTCTAGAGAATGAAGAGAAAATGCTACAGACTGCTTTATGGCTACTGGAGATTAAACATAGATCTATAAGTAAACAAAAAAGTTAAACATGCATTTATTATTTTTTGTATAAAGGTGAAATTAGCCTTTAACTGCTTCCCGACCTCCCTATAGCGGAACTACTGCTACAGGCCGGCAGTGCTGCACAAAATCACATATACAGTATATACATGATGTTGCATTTCTGGGTTTGGGGTATGCACTGCTCTACCCTTGCCACCATTGGTGGCTACAGATATCAATTCCCCGCCGACACCTGGTAATTGCTGAGGAACACTGACAGGGGAGAGGTCTGTATGTAAACAACACAGATCTCTCCCCTGTCAGCAAGGACATGCTGCTTTGTATCTCTCTGCACAGAATGTCTCCCTAGAAAAACACAAACAGCATACAGTTAACCCTTTGACCGCCCCATATGTTATCCCCTTGCTGCCCAGTGCCATTAGTACAGTGTCAGGGCTTTTTATTAGCACTGATCACTGCAATAGTGTCACTGGGGATGTCAGTGGCAGTTAGTCAGTTCCCTCCCCCAGTGTCAGAATGCCTGCTGCAATCCCGCTATAAGTTGCTAATCGCAGCCATTACTAGTATTGAAAAAAAAATTCCAGTATCTGTACCGCCATTTTAGACACTATACAGTACCTTTCACATAAACCAATTAATTTACATGTTTTGGGATTTTTTTTTAGCAAAGACATGGAGCAGAACACATTTTGGTCTAAATTTATGACAAAATTTGATTTTTTAAAATTTTTTTTAATTGGCTGTGTTTTATAGCAAAAAGTCAAAAATATTGTTTTTTTTTTTTTTCAAAATTGTCAGTCTTATTTTGTTTATAACACAAAAAATAAAAAAATTTACAGGCACTCAAATACCACCAAAAGAGTTACTCCATTGGTCCTCGAGGCGATAGACGGCAGGCCCCTGCAACCGCCGCAGGTTACCCACAAGACCCTGCCAGTTGAAGTAGCTATTGGGGCTGTTCACAGGGAGTTGGCCTGTTTTCAGGTAATTTCTTCCCCGCACTACTCTGTGGTTTTAGGATATCCCTGGCTTCAGAAGCACAATCCGACCTTTGATTGGCGGTCGGCCGAGATTCTCTCGTGGTCTCCACAGTGTGGGGCTGGTTGCATCCGTGGACCTGTTAAGGTTTTGTGTGCCTCCTCGGTCTCTGTGTTGCCTACTGACTATGGGTAGTACCTGGACATGTTTGACAAGGTGCGTGCCGGTGCTCTGCCTCCTCATCGTCCATACGATTGTGCCATAACCTTACAACACGGTGCCACTCCTCCGCATGGCAGGGTGTATCCTCTTTCGGTTGCGGAGAATCAGACCATGGAGGAGTACGTTGTGGATGCGCTTTCCCGGGGGCACATTCGCAAGTCTACTTCTCCAGCAGGAGCTGGCTTTTTCTTTGTGAAAAAGAAGGGCGGTGAATTGAGGCCTTGCATTGATTTTAGGGGTCTCAATCGAATCACGATTAAGAATGCTTACCCAATTCCGTTGATTACCGAGTTGTTCGACCGCCTCAAGGGAGCAACGGTCTTTACTAAACTTGACCTTAGGGCTGCGTACATCAAAGAGGGCAACGAGTGGAAGACCGCGTTCAACACCAGAACCGGCCACTATGAATCCCTGGTTATGCCCTTCGGGTTGTGTAACGCGCCCGTGGTCTTTCAGGAGTTCATTAATGATGTCTTTCATGACTTGTTGCAGCAGTGCGTGGTGGTTTACTTGGACGACATCCTGGTTTACTCTGCGTCTATGGAGTCTTATATCCACGATGTTAAGCGGGTGCTGCAACGGTTACGTGAGAATGAGCTTTTCTGTAAGCTCGAGAAGTGTGAATTTCATCGATCCCAGGTTGCCTTTTTGGGCTACATCATTTCTGCTGTGGGATTTTCCATGGACCCTCAGAAGGTATCGGCGGTTCTGCAGTGGCCTCGTCCCAGTGGTCTTCGGTCCATTCAGCGCTTTTTGGGATTCGCCAACTATTATCGGAAGTTTATCAGGAACTTCTCCACGCTGGTCAAGCCTCTCTCAGTTCTGACCAAGAAGGGCAGTAATCCCCACGAGTGCTCATCCGAGACCATCTTAGATTTCGAAGCTCTGAAATTCGCCTTCGCTTTGGCTCCGATACTGTCTCATCCCAATCCTGGGTTGCCTTTTGTCCTCAAAGTTGATGCATCTGAGACGGGAGTAGGCGCCCTCCTGTCTCAGCGTCGGTCGCCCGATGGACCCCTACTTCCCTGCGGGTTCTACTCCAGGAAGCTTTCCTCCGCAGAATG